CATTCATTCTTTTGGTGTGGGGGGGGGGGGTGCATGTACAAGCATTTTAAAATACAAAATGGCCACTATATCAAGTGGCTTTAATTCAGCTGTTTTAAAAAGCATTTAGCTGACATGTTGTGGTCATGGCCAAGAATGACCCCCCAAAAAATGATGAGTGCTAGTCACAACTAATTATTCAGGTATTTTTAGACATACAAAGTGTGTTAAAGACCAACTAATGAACAGGTATTTTGACCCATTCCCTGAACAAACTGCTTCAGTTCTCTCAGGTATGAAGGGTTCCTTCCACATGTTCAACAGGATTGAGATCAGGGCTCAGCAGGTCTCTTCAGAATAGTTCAATGTAAAATTCTTAGCCCTTTTTGGGTCATTTTAACTGTGGTTTGTCCAGAGAGTTTGGCTACAAAAGCAATGACTGATTTTATTTTAAATTTTAGCACATTTCTTTATATACAGTATATAGCTGTGTAATACTGTACATGACTGTGGTGCTCAGTTCAAAATGATGTGATATTCTATACTGTAGGACAGAATAAGGCTTCAAGGTTATTTTGAATGCTACACACTTATCAGCCAAAGTCAGACTGATTATTGTTTACAATTCTGTCTACCTTGTCTACGGACAAAATGGTGCACTTAAARGCAGGGCAGCTGTGGCTACAGTGTAGTTTGCCATCATCAGTGTGTGAATGTGAGTGCGAATGGGTGAATGTCTGTTAGTGTAAAGTGCTTTGGGGTCCGGAGGGACTTGAAAAGCGCTCTATAAGTTCAGTACCATACCATTTATCATTTAAAAGTTTCTGGCAAATGTTCTTTTCGGGGACTGAATTTTATTTCCAGCTGATGGAAAAAAAAAAAGGCAAAAGTAGAATAAAAACACAAATCTTTCCAGATTGTGACATAACCTCGCCTATATAGAGAAAGTTTATCCAACACAGATGGAAAAGAATTTATTCTCAGTGARCAAAGTCTGCCAGAGAGTGTTTACAGGACAAAATGGTGTTGAAACTACAGGCAGCCACTTTCACATTCTAATGAAGAGAGAAAAGATTAGTGAGGGYTTAATGTCTGCAAGACTGACGGACATTAATCCTGCGTGACGTTAAAGTGTTTAWACAAAAAGTTATATAAACACAGCTACAGTTGGTTAGAGTGTTATTCATCCAATGAATATTCTTTTCAATGTTGAGATATATACAGTATGTTGTGATAAATCTCCAAAATATTGTAGCTAATAGTAATCTTCATATCACTCAGCCCTACTGTCTGCCTGTTTTCATAACCCAAATAAAAATGTTTGCATTTATATTATTGGAAGAAAAAACATTGATAATATTGATATTTTTGTTTTTTCTCATGTAATTACTTAGTGTATTTGTTAGATGGTTGAAAAATCAGGCGAAACATTTATTACAAAAAATGAAAGAATTGTTTAAAATTGTTTTTATTTTACACAAATTGTTACATGTAAAAATCATAAAACAATTAAATTTTAAGATGCTTCTTTTTTTAGTAAAACCTTTAACAAAAAGACATTTGACATTTATTAACACAGTTGTTCGATAGTCAAACAAACAAAAGAACTGATTTGTTGTACAATGAAGACATGAGTTACACCTTAAACCTTTGCAGACCTCATTATTTATGTTGCTTGTTTTCACACAGTTCATGCTAATCCACATACCCCACAATAACATTAAACCAAATGTGGACTGATTCTTTATCAGGACATCTGGTTCTAATGTGACCTGCACTTTTCTGGATTCCAACCAAAACAACATAATTGTTTTGTGCAGGAAACACATTATTTTGCACCAGAGCTCAAACTGTGAGCTACGAGCAGTTTGTATGAACTACATTATACACAGAACATTGGTTAAAGTCAGAAAGTCATGGCACACACACACTGCTTCTGTCAAACTTTGATACACAATTTAGACTTGGTCCAAGCCAAGGGCCAATCCCTTTGCTGAAGGAACAAAATATTCTTRTAGAAATACAAATTACATTTTCCAAATTATGTTGTTATGTTTTATGTAGCATTTAGAATACCTGACCTAATGTATAAAGAAAAAGGATTAAATTTAGAAAGGGACATTATTATTCATTTTTTATAACTTACTTACAATCAAAATCTTTTTCATTTTTTATATCTCAGGGATACATTTTTGTAACAATCCAGCAAAGCAGGTAAAAAAGAGAAAACCCTCACTAAAAATCCGGTTATTTGACTTTAAAATAAAAAAAAGAAAAACAGCAAAAGATAATGAAAGTCAAATGTTTTTTGATCTTTCCACACCAAAACCAAAAATTGCTGAACTCAAACGTCATTTTCTCAGCTTGCAAGCTGACCATCTGTCATGAAAGGACGGCACTAAATACAGTCTTGAAAAGAGAAACTATAGAACTATTTCACAGTTGAAGTATGACCTTTGAGGCCTAATAAAGTGTTAATAAGGGCCAGGTTTGGCCTGCGGGCCTTGAATTTGACACGTGTTTTAAGAGATGGTGGGCAAAAAATGATTTAATGTTACTACTGAATAACAGTCATCAGCGTTTTATAGAAAAACTAATAAAAATGGACAGAGTCTACCAGTGTCCAAGAATCCCAGTTGTATATGGTGCAATGATGTGATCCAGCAAATAAAGACATTTAAGAGAAACGTGCATGTATAAAATGTCCCCATACTCCAATACAGACATAAACGTTGCATCAACCAGTTGCTTTCTAGCCTCAAACGACTGACACGATCTAATCCTGAAATAAAATCCCAATTTTAATCCCAGCTTCTTCACTAGCTGTTGAAAATGGGAAGAAAAATGTGAAGAAAAAGACAAAGAATCGCTAATTAAAAAAATCCTACATATTTATACTGTGGCACATTTTCAATTGTCAGACCCTCAGTTGTAATAATGACTGCAAGATCCTAACGTTCAAGCCTGCTATTAAAAAACAACATCACCTTTGATTTATCTGCATTTAACACAAGCTTAACAGTAAATGGTAAATGGACTGTACTTGTATAGCMCTTTTCTATCCATCCAGGATACTCAAAACACTTCACACAACAATCTGTGCCCTAATTTACCCATTCACACAGCACTCTGTTATGTCTCTACAAAGTTAATGTTGTGTTCACTATGTTGCCACTATGTGGTGGAAGTAAAGAGTTGTGCAGAGATATTGTATAGAGAAGAAGAAAAATAAAGAAGGAGAAGAAACAAGAAAGATGGCTGGTGTGTTTTACTACAGTTACGTTAAGTACTAGTGAGTTTATTGTTCTACTGACACCTTACAACATAACACTTAACATGATAAAGATTTGTCTGTAAAACTTTAAAAGTTGACTGTAGTTGATTAAAAACATTATTAGGTGAGAGACCAGAACAATATAATACAGTATCATCTACATAAAAATTACATTTTGCATGAAGAACATTTAAAGTCAGACTATTTACAGTGGTTAGACAATGACACTGAAATACCTGTCATTTTAGTGTGGGAGGTTTCATGTCTAAATTGGACCAGCCTGGTGGCCAGTCGTCATTATTTGCACATTGCACCAGTAAGAGCAGAGTGTGAAGGTTCAATTAGCGGGGTAAGAGCACAGTTTTGCTCAAAATATTGCAATGCACACAACATTATGGGTGACATACCAGAGTTCAAAAGAGGACACATTATTGATGCACATCTTGCTGGAGCATCTGTGACCAAGACAGCAAGTCTTAGTGATGTATCAAGAGCCACAGTATGCAGGGTAATGTCAGCATACCACCAAGAAGGACCAACCACATCCAACAGGATTAACTCTGGATGCAAGAGGAAGCTGTCTGAAAGAGATGTTATGGTCTAAAACCAGGTGTTTCAGTTTCATTGTCTAACCTATATATATATATATATATAAAGTGGCCCCAGCACTGACCCCTGAGGGACACCATTGAGTATATGGAGAGAAGAGGAGGGTAATACCTTTACTTGAACACATTGAAATCCATGGGTCAGATGGTTGTCAAACCAACAAAGAGTTTGTTCAGACAAACCAATAGTGTGAAGCCTCTGTAATAAAACCTCATGATTAGCATATTTTTTTATGTAATGATGGTTTATCAGTAACAAAAGGCCAAGGTTGCCCTTTGTCACTGATTCTATTTATATTATTTATGGACAGAATTTCTAGGCGCAGCCAAGACGTTGAGGGGATCCTTTTTGGTGGCCTTAGGATCATGTCTCTGCTTTTTGCAGATGATGTAGTCCTATTGGCTTCATCAGATCATGGTCTCCAGTTCTCACTGGAGCGGTTCGTAGCTGAGTGTGAAGCGGCCGGGATGAGGATCAGTGCCTCCAAACCCGAGACTTTGGTCTTGAGCCGGAAACCGGTAGTGTGCCGTCTCCGGTTCGGGGAGGAGGTCCTGCCCCAAGTGGAGGAGTTCAAGCATCTCGGGGTCTTGTTCACGAATGAGGGAAGAATGGAGTGGGAGATCGACAGGCGGATTGGTGCTGCGTCTGCAGTGATGTGAGCGCTGTACCGGTCTGTCGTGGTGAAGTGGGAGCTGAGCCAGAAGGCAAAGCTCTCGGTTTACCGGTCKATCTAYGTTCCTACCCTCATCTATGGTCACAAACTTTGGGTAGTGTCTGAAAGAACGAGATCGCGGACACAAGCGGCCGAAATGAGTTTCCTTCACAGGGTGTCTGGGCTCTCCCTTAGAGATAGGGTGAGAAGCTCAGTCATCCAGGAGGGACTCAGAGTAGAGCCGCTGCTCCTCCACGTCGAGAGGAGCCAGTTGAGGTGGCTCAGGCATCTGGTTAGGATGCCTCCTGGACGCCTCCCTGGTGAGGTGTTCCAGGCATGTCCCAATGGGAGGAGGCCCAGGGGAAGGCCCAGGACACACTGGAGGGACTATGTTTCTCGACTGGCCTGGGAACGCCTTGGGATTCCCCCGGACGAGCTGGCCCAAGTGGCTGAGGAGAGGGAAGTCTGGGTCTCTCTGCTTAGGCTGCTGCTCCCGCAACCCGATCCTGGATAAGTGACAGAAAACAGATGGACAGACAGTAACAAAAGACTAAACCAACTGCTCCAGTTTACCATTTAAAACGTTTGACTATACTGAAGTGCCAAATCTCTTCTTTTATTGGCCCACTTTATTTAAAGATACAAACAAAAATAATTTATATTTAAGCCCAGCACCACTTAAACACAAACGTTACACAGATTTCCTATATCCACCCATTCATTTTCTACTCCTTATCTATAATCAAGCCACGGTGGCAACAGGTCCACAAGATAAAAGCCAGACCTCCTTTTCCCCAGCAGGGGTAGAGCCAGAGGGGTGGCCAGAGTGGCAAGTGCTKCCTCTATGACTGGGATGAGCAGCAGAGTTGAGTTGTACACATGAAAAATTTGCCAAATCTTCTCTACCAAACAGCTTATTTTGCCATTGCTATTGACACTTGTTTTGAGCTGCTGGTACCGCCCCCCCCGCACCCCCCCAGGTGCTGCCAACAAGGTGCCCGCTTTAAAAATTTATTGCCAAGAAGCATTGTTACAACAAAGAAATAATCTACCAAACACAAATTTCCTTACTTTTTGTGTTGTGTGTTTTCTTCATAATGTCTGCAAAGAAATAAAAGTGTACTTGTTATAAGAATTGCTGCATTTTTAAATTTCACTTTTTACCCATCTCTTCTTATTTATGGTTACACATATTTGCGTAAACACCTTTATTTGTATAATAAATACAAACCAATACCGTTATTTATGGCTGAGGTAATTATGAAACAGAGCTTTGTTACTTAATCAAGATTTATTTGAAAAACTTTTCTAGGAAAAAGATCCAAACAAAGACCAAACACTTAATTTAAACATAGAAACAATTGTGGATTTAATATGTTAAATGAAAAAAAAAACACTGTATGGAAATACAGAAAACATGGATGTATCATATTTTAACAAACTCTTTTTTTCTGCAGGAGTGAAAAATGTGTTCCAGGCCAAAGACATGAAGTTTGTGAATGTATCCATGCCCTGGATGCCTGAACACAACGCAATGGTGCCTCAACTGGTGGAGAAACAATACAGAACTGAACAGGTCCACCATTTTTATTCCTAGTTGTTTTAATTGCACACATTATAGGAAATTAAAGAGGGTGACTCCTTATTCACCTTTTTGATTGATGTTCCAAGCTGGAAACTTTAATAAAAATGAGAAACATTTCTGCCCAGCATACAGTAAAATCAACCCTGATGCACTTACCTGTCCTTCTGCATGTGATATCAGTTTTACTAAGTGATGTCTTGGGGTGGTACTTGTTATGTGAGCCAACATTAGAAAATAACACTGGTTGAATTTCAGCAGCAGTACCTTATCTGAGATTTGACAAACATGAAAACCATTTTATATTCATATTTTTAGCACAGTGACATTGCAAGAGTAAAACAAGATGAAGACTCTTTACCTGCGACTTGAGGTTTGGTGAAAAAACATCACTTTGCAGGTTTGCTGTGGTGGCACTTTTGCTCCATTTTCAAAAAAAAAAAGATTTACTAAAAGCTTTGTGTGATACTTTTTAAAAACCAAACACTGAGCTGTAATTCTTCACAAATTTGTCTCTAATCTGTGTGGAGAGTTTACTGGTCTTCATGATGTCTCTTGCTTGGTGGTAGCCCTTATTGTACTTCTTAGAGGTGTTTATGATTTTGGGGGCTGTCAGAAATGTTGGCTATACTGAGATCATATGTTAAAGCAGAGGGGCTGATTACATGTGCACACCACCACCAGTTTATCTTTTTTACAAGTTTTTTTTTTTCGTTTTAATACATTTATCTAATGCATTTTTTGTAAAATAAAAAAAATAATCAAAACTTTATTTAAGTAACWTGAACCGCAATACAACTGAAGAAATATAAAATATATGTATATGTATATGTATATGTATATGTATATGTATATGTATATGTAACACATTCTCACGTCGGACTCACAACATATTGACGCGCAGGCGTGCCCAAGCATCCGTCCTTGCCGCCCGCGGCTTTTCTGGGTTGCGTCACAGGATTAACAGTTAACTTTAGGGTCTGTGGTCAAGGATAATGGTTAATTTGAGAGACTGGGGTCATGGATAGGCTGTGCATAGCTAATATAGGTGAAATTTAGGGTCTGGGAAAATGGTTAACATGAGGGATCAGGGTTATTGGTTAACTTTAGGGTCTGTGTTCAGGGACTCGTCCTCCTCCGCCTTATCTCGTACAGAACAGACGTCCTGGGTATCCCCGCGCGTCAACATAGATCAGGCTGTCTGGTGTTCTACTAACAGAGGATGAGAAGTAGGTAGAAGAATAATTGCAGTTTAGGTTATGATGTTCTCAGAGTTGGATTGTTTRTGACTGCTTCAGGAGAATGTAAACAGTACAAAACTTTTCCTGTTTATATCAGACTGAGCTCCAGTTTTTTTTTAAATTTTGGTGCAGTGAACGGGATGAGACACTCCATTTTGCAATGACCTCTGTGTTGCGCCACAAACACAAAACTGAGTTTGTGCTCTAAACACTCAATCTGGTGAAATAATAATAATG